ATATGTCAATTTGAATACATTTGACACAATTTAGTCATTTAGTCTAATTTGATTAAAATTATATTTTTACTACTTATGGCTATATTCAGCCATCTATTCTTTTTCATTTATCTATTTTAAGTTTATGACTACTCGATTACCACTGTACATCACCTCAACTGGTCTCATTTCACTCAAACAGAATTTTCACCCTAAAATCTCTTTGAATTAAGGCCAAATTGAGCCTATAGGTTTAAAGATTTATCCTTCAGCTTTAAACCAATCACAAAGTTCTAATTTAACTTCCAAGAACCTTTTTATTACCATTGAGTAAGAATCAAACCTCTAAAATTTCACCGATTCAATTTCTCTATAACTCATATTTAGAGAAATTTGGGTAGAATGGAAGGTAAGGATTATACATAGCTTATCCATTAAGTTGCTAATTAGAAGTACCTTTCAGAGCTCCATAATAGCTTGCCCTAGCACACCAGCCCTTCTTCTCTTCTCCTTTCATGTGTTTCTGATTTCTCCCTTCTAAAATTTACCTAAAATTCAAGACTTAAGGGGTCATTTTCTAGTCCATGCATTGCAACTTATATAGCACAGGCCGCGGTGCATGGCATAATGAGAATAATTCTCACCACACGCACTTGCTTCAACCCGAAACGCAATCCTTCCACCCGTATCTATTCATTTAACATCCCAATGAGTCAAGTCATCACATAATCATTCAAATATCTAATCCCACACTAATTATTACTTTACCCTTAATAAATAGCTAATCATGGGATTAAGAAATTTAAGATGTTATAGGACTCTACCTATTTGATACTGGAGACAGCTTAAAAGTTTGAGGCTGCCTTTAAAAGGTTTGAGGATAAGGACTCTTACTTTAGCATTGATCTTGAAAGTGGGGAGGGGGTGCCTAATGCTGAAATTTGGACAAATATAAGAAAGATGATGATGTTTCTAAGTCATTTCTATGACTTGACTTTGCATGTTTCTAGTTCTTCATTTGTCACATCAAATGACTTTTTTTGTGAGATTTATATGTTATTCCTCCTTTTAAATGAGTGGCAAAAATGTAATGATTTGGAGTTTTCTTCAATGGCTTACAAAATGAAATAAAAATTTTAAAGTATTAGGGAGATCCTTCAAAAATTAATAAATTGATGTTTGTGGCTGTTATTCTTAATCCTCGATATAAGCTTGGATAGGTGCAATTTTACTTTGTAAGATGTATTTTGGTGAGGTTGGAGAGAAATTTGGAGGGCAATTGAAGGATTTTCTCATTTCTTTATATGAATACAAAGAGCGTATCTATCTCTCAAAGCAAGTTTAAAAGGAACAATTATTTAATAGCTACCAATTTGATGAAGATGATGACCTAGCTGTGAAAATTAGAAAAATTCTTGAATATGAAAAGAAAAAAATTCATGAGTGAAAGGCTTGGTGGGAGGACTATTAGAATAGAAGTTGACAGGTATTTGGTTGAAGAAATTGAGATGGAGAATGATGATTCTAATATTTTATGTTGGTGGAAGTTAAATAGGCCTAGATTCCCCATTTTCTCTCAATTAGCAAGGGATGTTTTGGCTCTCCCAATTTCCACTGTTACTTTTGAGTCTACTTTTAGTACCAGAGGACATGTTCTATATTCATTTTAGGAGCTCTTTAACTCCTAAAGTTGTGCAACCTATTGTTTGTGCTCAAGATTGGCTTCCCCACTTCATTCGATTCCAATAGAAGAGAAGATAAGTGATGTGCAAAAGATTAAGATAGGTAATTTATTTTGTGTTATATTGTTTTAAATTTAATGTTGAGTTATTGGTTAAATGATATTGATATTCAATACTTTATTTATATTTAGACTTTCAAAAAATTGCTATAGAATCAAATGCGGATATACTGTGAGTCTTTGTTCTCAATGACTTGAAGTACTTCTTGTTTGTTTTATTTTGTTTTACCAATCTAGACATTTGATTATTGTAATGGTTTAATTTTAATTTTGAAGACTTAAGTTAAGTATATTTTAGGCTTGAGCTTGAAACTTGTTTCAAGCATATTAGACTTAATTTATAGATTTAATTTTAACATTTTAATCTTTTTAGATAAATCTTGTTTTAATATTATGTGCTGTCTAAATTAACTTTGGGGGCTTTGAAGATACATGAGTAAGTCAAACTTCATGACCTCCCATAAGATACACGAGTTAGTCAAAAGTTAGTTTGAAAGGGCAGGAACAGGGAAAACTTGCTCTTGAAACTTGGAATGCTAGTACGTTTATATAACACAAATTTTGCTGATTGTTTTAATTTTGCCTTTTTATTAAAAAAATTAACCTTGATGGAATATATATGTGTAATTAAAATGGCTACTATTAAGTCCTATTTTATATATAAGCCTTGTTTATTTTAATAGAAAAAAAAAGATTGGCCCAAGTCTAAATAGCCAAATATGAAGCCTAAAAACTTAATTAACCGACCAAATTGAATTATCAAATTTTAATTTGGTACTTGTCAGGTTTGATTATATTGTTTAGTTTTGTTCAATTCATACTTTTCATGTTGTTAAGTCAATTAGTTTTATATATTTTGGAACCAAATTGAATCGAATCAACCAATGCTCACCCTTAAGTAGAACAGGATCTATTACTTTCACATGTACAACTCAAACTTTTAAAACTCATATGTAATATTCCTTTTATGTGCATGATGTCACGGCTTTAGAACTTCCTTATCTTTGAACTGTGTCGGCCTTAGCATGATCAACCTCTTGATCCTAGCTAAGTCAGTTGAACTCCCAGAATACAAGCAAAGATATTAGAAAACTTAAACCCAAGAGAGAAGAGAGCTTGAATGAGAGAACTTAAAAGCTTAAAACTTTAATTACTTTTCTTGTTGTTTACAAATGAAGGGTTGTGGAGGTAGTTATAGGCCTCCCCTTTTCTCTAAAAAATTCCCACCTCCTTAATGGATGATAGAGATCAATCTAATTCTACAGTTTACATTTATTCTTTAGAGTGTTCCATAAAAATATCTATAACAAATATCTAAATATTTATAAGAATATTGCTAGATTAATCTTTAAGATATGTGTAGAATGTTCTGGAACATCCTAGAATATTCTAGATATTTCCATATCCCTCTCTAAATTTCTAGAATCTTCTAAAAACTTTTAAATTTCTCCAAATTATTCTAGATTGTTCTATATGCTTCTAAAACATATTAGATTCTTTTTGAATATCTTGGACTCTCCTAAAAATCTCTGCATTGTCTTGGACATCTCCAAAAACACCATATCCTTATGGTTTCTTCTCTTTTCAAAGAGAGGTTGTGACAATGAGCTGACTTCTTTTTTATAGGTAAAAAACAATATGAAATCAAAAGGATGTAAGATTGATTAATAATGCTTTTGGTTTAAAGGTTCCACAATTAATTAATGTACAGGTGGACAATAGATATTGAGCAAATGTGTCTACGTGTGAGAAGTAGACCTTTTGAAAATTGTCTATGGCTTTGAGTATACGGTGTTAGATAAAAAGTATAAACCTTTTGGCCACTTCGAATGGGAACGGCAATTTTTGGAATTATTCTCAACTCCAATTCTTTGTTCAATTAGGATCTCAACATAATAGGGTGTCGGATAAAAATTTTACAAATTGTACTAGAAAAAATATTTTTAAAACAAAAAATAAAAATAGAAACAGGTCTTAGATGTGCAAAATCAATTTTATTGTTTTGACACCATCGAATCATTTCAAAAACGATGTGGAAAACTTATATAGTATTAATCTTAAACGTTGGTTACAGGATTGCGAAAATTTATGGAGGGGCTGACAAATGTTGTGAAAAGATCCAATGAAAATTGTTTCACTTCTTTGTACCATCATAGTTTGATTTTAATCAAGGATTGTCACTCATAATTTCAGTTATGCATTAGGCAGCCTTTGCTTTGTCTAAAAATAATTTGGCAGTGAAAAATGTGTCCTGAACGAAATTTTATATGAAAAAAATATTTTACTTTACTGCAGGAATATAAATTTCTCTTACTCATTATGCTTTATTGATGTAAGAAAAATTAGAAGAGAAGGATAAGGAGATTTATGCTCTGCAGGTTGTTATGATGCTTTTTGAATGGATATTTATATTGCATAAATCCTGCCCTCTAACAAAGGGCAGGCAGCAAGGCCCAAAGGTCCTATTTTGGTGAAACTCTAGTGAGTAATATTCTTGGCCTTTGGGATGCTGAAGATAAAACATAAATTTTTCCTTATTTTTCTCCATATAAAGGTTAGGAATTTAATTTGGCTTCCGACCATTTGCTTAAGAATGGGAACTTTTACTATTTATGCTAATTTGAGTTTCATTTTTTTCTTCATAAACATACGAGTGAAATAATTTGACTTGTGATCTCAAGAAGGAGGTGCAAACATCTCAATCACAAGTCCAATATCGGGTATAGACATTTCTTTTCTACAAATCAATGGTTGGAAAAAGATGTTCTTTGATTAAAGAATTCTACAGTGGGAAGGACACTTGGAGCATTATTGCTCAAGTTTTGCGAAGGTGACAAGTGAACAAGTCCTCACCTTTTCATGTTTACAGAATCACCATGATCTTGATGGATGAGAAGGTTTGTTTTCTGTTATATTTGAATGTACTTTTCTTCCATTTTGTGGACTGAATTATAGACTACCAAATGAAACATTTTATTTTTTGTCTTTTTAAAGGCTCTTGGATACAAGCAAATGTAATCATGACCTTACTAAGTTATTTTCATTTAATTACTCCCAAATGATTGTAATTTATTATCAAATTTCTTTGGTTCTAAATTTTAATTAAATTGCTCTAGAAGTCCAGTATTGAAATTCTTCTTAAAAAGCAAGAATTTGCTTTTCTAATTTTGAAAATGGGCCAAACTCCGAGTTAATTGCCATGAATATGGGCCCAGCATGGCCTAAGATACGGCCCATAATCACCTTGTTCCAGCAGTCTGAAAATGACACCGTTCAGGTCTTCGTAGTTAGGGAAACCGGAACGATGGGAAGCGGGAAGGGGGAACCTGGCCTGATATTTCAATTTGGCGGGAAAACCTGATCGACTTTGCCGCCACCAAAAGGATCCTTCCCATATCTATCTTTCTCATCGCTCGTAATGATCTGAGAATCTCCGTCTTCAGACGCAGAAAGAGAATCATAAGGAAATATGCAGATTCGCGTGAAATGCAACTGTGGGGAAGGAGATTGTTCAGAATGGGCCATCGTTGAACTTCAAGGCGTTGTCGAAGCGCAACCTTCGTTTCAAGATCGCCTCCAGAACCTCGAGATCGGCGTTCTCTGCCGCCCTTCTTTTCAGGTCGGATCATTCTCTAGTTCCGAATCCAAATCTGTGATTGATTTCTTGGGCTACCTTCTAACTCGTATCTAATTTTTCGATTCAGGAAGTCTATACTTTGACTATCGGATACCATGAGTTGACAGGATCGAAAGTTCCCTTAAAGAAGCCAGTTCTGGTGCTGAAGAAAGTCAAACAGTCCGATGTAGACAGCGGCTGCGAGAATAATGGTAGCGTGGAGCTTCAAGTCATTGGAATCATTAGGCATCGCATTTTGTTCAAAACCAGACCGAAAGCCCTCATTTCAAGTAAGTTTTCCTTCATTTTATTCTCTTTGGATTTTTCATGTGCATTTAAGTTTAGGAGACATTTTTAAGCAAAGCATCTGATTGGTTTCTTGCTGTTGGCTTATCTTCCTTTCCTTTCGTGTTTCTTCCACTCAATAGAATGGTATCCACATCAACACTCACACAGAGCAAGAATAAATCTGATCTAATCCATATCAATACATGTAAGATTTGAATCATTAGTAATGTAGCTTAACTATTTATAATTAGCTGAAATTTTTAAAATTTGGATTGGGTGCATTCGATTAATTTTTCTTGTATCCATTGGAGCTTTGCACGGACATGAAGCCTAATAATGATATAATTAGCTGTTTTTTTTTTTTTTTGACCTGGATATAATTAGCTGTTTGAACTTACGAAACTTGAATCAGAGAGGTGCCCTGTCTTTTTAAGTCGCGTCAACAGGAAGAAAATTCTTATTAGTCTATAAAAATTTGTTGTCCGTGATATATTTAATTGGCACAAAGTAAATTAGATTATTATTATTTAGATTCTGTTTCACTACGTGATTTCATATTCGTCTCTTTTGAAACCTTTTCCACTGTTTCTTTCTCTGACCAATTGATATTTGTTTCGTATCTATTTCCTCCCACAGCCTCAGCTTATCCCTTCCCACCTTCCAAATCTAAGATTACATTAACTCTTCATTAGGAAAATATTTCCATCCATGCGTGTACGGATGTTGCCATCTGCTTCTGTAGTGCCATTATTTTATTTTATTATTAATTTTTTGTGAGGATTTCTACATCTGTTAGCACACGTCATTCTCAACGTTAGCTGCTTGGGCAACTTGCAATGGTTCTTTTTATTTGTTTATAATTTGTTTGTAAGTCTACTTTTTAGAACCCTATCTACAAGTAACCCACTATTTCATATGAAGCTATGGTGCGTGGGGCGTGATGTAAAATTCTTTAGTTTATCATTTAGCATCATAAATCTTTATTAACTAAAGTCCAAAACCTACTCAAATGTCATCGTTGATCCATCCGTATATATCTTATAGATCTCAATTACATTTTCAAAAATTTCACCCAATTCGTTGTCGTTACACTTGCTAAATTAATTTTGATGTTGAACTTTAATTCTACCCTACATAAAAGCTTTTGGCAAGATTGTCCCATGCGGAATAACTTATACTTCACTCATCTTGGTGGAGAAAGAAGAAATCATAAGATTCTTTGAGTAAAGTGATACAATGTTTCCCATTTCTTTCAAGTTTCTCTTTGTAACAACTTACAGCTACTTCATGTTTACTGTTATTACTTAAATAATCTCAAAGGGAATCTTAATTTCTTCTAAAACCCTTCAAATCTTTGTATCAGCATATATTAAACATGAGCGATTGGCATGGCTTTGGGGAAATTATTAAACCTATCTGTGTTGCTTATTTACTGTTAGACATTGGTTTCAATGGTTTGCTTCTGACCGGATTTACAAAGTATGCAAATTTCAGCCAGAGTAAGGTGTGCGTTGCGTTCAGAGTTCGTTTGATCTAATTAAAAAATATGCGAACTTATTTCACTGACTTTATATTCGATACTTGAAGCCATAATCAATATAATAATGTATTATATAATTTTAAAAAGCCACACTAATCATAAGCATGTTCATCTCAAATTGCATATGAAGGACAATAAAGTATGAAACCTTTTCCATTTTATATTTTAGCTGGCTTACAGTCCTGTTATGACTTGGATGTCAGTATATGCGTTGGGAAAATGGAGGTTTTTTTTTTCTTTCGGTGGCCAAGGAAAACTGGAGGTTTACTGGGCATAAATACTTGAAAAGAACATATGATCTAATTCTTTGGGTACTTATCAAATTCTTTAATAAATCCTCCCAAGAAAATATGTCACAACTCAAAATTGCACAGTTGACTTTTTTCCCCCCTTAAAATTTTCTCAATGGGCGATAATTCTGACAGTCGGTGTTTTTCAACTTGCATTAAGATTTTTTACTTTTTATTTGTTTCTCAATGGCCCATCCTTATATTGTGACATGCAAGGCCAACAACTGATGTTAACCTTTCCCTTCATTTTCCAGAACCAAAAGTAGAAGCCAAGGAAAGACAAAGGCCCGTCATGTGAGGCTCTGTTCCTTCCCAACAATCAGCATAACACCACACTGTTTAATATCATTCTCAGGGGTTGGCCCCTCTCACAAAAAATCTCGGTTCGAGGTCACCACTGGACCGGAAAGGTCAAGAAGCACCATCAGAGACTTTGACGATAAACTTCATATCATTCTTATCCCTGTATTGTAAACCATGATTGATGTATCGACATTACTAGCAACCACATTATCTGAGAGGGACCGCCATTTCTCTCCTGGATAACTTTGTGATGTCACTTTTTAGTTTTTTTTTGTTTTTGGGATACATTGTCACTTTTTAGTTTTAGGGTATACCCATTTAAAATATCTACTTCCTGTAATTTTAAAATCATCTTTTATTGTCATACTATGGTTGTTTGACAGATTAAATGGCCATAGACATGAACATAATTGTAACTATGAATTTGGGGAATATATATATCTGTATATATTATCATTATTAATGTGAAAATACTACCCTGCTTTATAGTCTATATGCATCAAGCCAATGAGATTTTTGCCCTCCCAGGGAGTTAGATTATTAGCAAAGGGAAAAAAGAAGAAAGAAGAAAAGAAAATTAAAAACCAAGTGGACTTGTTCACCGGGTTTCTGAATCCGCTATTGCACGCCGAAGCTGTATGCAGCCAAAAAGAAGACCGAGTTGACTCGGAGTCCAATCCCAGAAGAAGCTGATGAAGAATTTGTGATCTCGTCCACACCTTGTTTCTGCTGAAAGTAAAGTGTAATCGAACAAATCCTAACAAGCCACATCTCTGTTTCTTCAATTCTTCTTTACTTCCAGAGACATTCAAGGAACTAGTGGTGGAGTAGGGACAATATCTTCCTTGTGCATCTTGATAACCTGCTTCTCGTTCCGACACAACCCTTTCCTCGGACTACCTCCGATGGACATTACGACGTTGTAACTCGCCGACCGCCGCATGGCCCCATGATGGTTTACCAGAATATACTTCCGAACATCCTCCGGCAGCTTCAACGTATACCTCTCCACCTCACAATGACCTGTCGAATTCGACCTCCTCAACTCCTTCAACCTCCCCGACTTCAACTGATCTCCTCCGACAGCCACCGCACCGTCCTCCTCAACCTCACCGCCTCTCGAACCGCTCCGACTCTCGTTTTCCTCAGTTTCCTCATGTTCATCCCTGCGATTATTATCACTACTCCCTATAACGTTCAATTGTGGGGGAACCGTTATGGCCACTTGGTCGTAATCTGGGTTCAGCTTTTCCCGGCAAACGGGGCAAGTCACGTGGGAAGATAGCCAAGCTTCGATGCAAGAAGGATGGAACACGTGGTTGCATTTCGGAAGCAATCGGAGAGTCTCGTAATCTTTGAACTCGTTCAAGCACACTGCACATTCGAGTGCTCCTTTACCTATTTTGAGATCCTTGATGGTGGAATAGACAAGGATGGGGAACGTGTCCAGGACTTTCCGGTCAATGCCCTCCGAGCACGAGCACGAGCATTCTCCAGCTTGGCCGGTGGCGGCTTCCTCGTCGGAGCAATGGCGGAGGTAGACGGAGAAGAAGCCGATGAATAGGAACGCGCAGAACAGAGCCCCAACCATGGCCGCAATTGAAGGGTCCCAGTTCTGGTGCGATGCAAAGGACGGCACTGGCTGCACGGCGGATTGCGCGGCGGCGCGTAGCACGAATATCCGGAAAAGCAGTTGAACCCATGTGAGGAAGGTGAAATGGAATCGCGTGGTTTGAATCATCTGGGTTAAGAGGAGGGTGTAGAATTAACTAGTAATTAATAATTATTAACAATAATTATGAAAGGGAAAGCGAAGTTGAAGAAGAGGGCATTCCATTGAGCGTGGGGTGTGAAGGAAGGGAAGAAGAGAAACTCTGAAACTGAGATTTGGTTTCTTGAGGAAGACGAAGAGAAAAAGACACAGATTTTTTCTTTTGGGGGCCTAATGATTGATTGAGGGGCTCCATATTAGCATATTATTTTTATTTATTTATTTTAGCGCTAATTATAAATTACTCTGAAATCAGTTACCCTCAAATCAGTTTGAGTTGTGCACTTTCTATGGTTTTAGACGTATTCGATAACTTCTTATGTTTCTATAGGCTACGTTGGGAAGGCTCATAATTTATTTTTATAATTTTATGTTATTCAGAAAATATTATAAAGCTTGATAAGCAAAGAAACTAATTAACCAAAAATATGCTGTTTTATGACACGTTTTCTGTTTTTTAAATCTTAATATCAAAATAGTATGTTAACTAATAATAATTGAATACAGTGAAATACAATCTTATGAATGAGATAATTCAATAAAATTAAGTTAGTAGAGTTATCTCTATTTAAGCCTTACTATACTTAAATATAAATTATTTGGTAGAATTATATGCTACCATATTTGTTTTAAAAAAACATAGTATGCCAAACAAAAATTGAAATATGAAGCAAAATAATCAAATTAATTTTTCGGTAATCAAATTAATGTTTTTTGTACTATCATGTCAACATGCATTAAAACTATTTTTCTTTTTTTTAATCAATGCATTTGTATTTTTTTAATATTGTAATTTAAATTTTAACTTGATAAATTTGAAATGTGAAGGAATCAAACAAATCATAATCAGCCAAAAACATAAAACAAATCACAGACCTAAGATGAGTTATATTCATGAGTGGCAGCACTGAATACGAAAAAATACCGAGCTAGCTAAGATATAAGGGGCAAAAACAACCTAAATTCCGCAAAGATATTAATTATATTTTCCAAACATAAATAAATTAACTAGGGCATAAAAAGCTGCTTTCGACGAATAAATCATTTAAAAAACTTATTGCCCATATATTTAATTAATGACCAAAAAATCTGAGGCGTGTACATAGAAAATAAGTCCATTAATGAGTCTAGGGATAAAGAAAACATGTAGTTTGGTTCATAATTTCTTTCAAATAAGCATGTATCAAAATTAGACAAGAATATAAAAGTGATTGGCTTTTTTCTCCTCGTCTTTGAATAATATATAACCATCAGAATAGTACTTGACCTTAGTTTTGAAATTTTTCAATAATAAAAAATTGATCACAAATAAATCCAAAAATGGAAAACAATACACACGAAGAGTCTAGAATTGCCACGTAATAGTGACAAATAATAAATCTTTTTTATTTATTTGCTTTTGGCCCACAAGAGAAACAAGTAATCCTTTAAGCAACAATTTTGTGGTGACAAAATAAACACTGATTCAAAATCATGATAAAATAAAATATTGATTTTGTGATAAAGGAAACAACAACAAAGATTAGACAAGAATTGGTACCCATGTTTCGTACAAAGCTTGGATTTTCATCAATATCATGTCCCAATTCTTCTACTAATTTATGGTTAGTTTAATCACCATTAGATCAATGCAAGGACAGAACAAGAATTTGTTAGAAGCGAAAATTTAATTTATTAATAATGATTAAATGTATAGTTATTAGAAATGATGTACGAAAACTCATAAATCATATCTAAATGGCAGTTATGGCGTTTCCTTGGGAAGGGCGAGATGGGTGAGAAGATATGGAGATCAATGCAAATGAAGGAGATGGCATCTTTATCTTCAAAGTACAGGCTAGTAGTAGAAATATAAAATGAATTTAGATTTGATGAATGTATTTAGTATAATCATTAAGTATTTATATTATCTATACCATTAACATTTAAATTAATAGTTCTAAATTTATATTTCATTTAAGATTAACAAATAAATAAATTTATTTAAATTATTGATATAGATTTTAATCACTCAGATGATATAAATATTTAATACTTACAGTGATCAAATCTCAATCTATAAATAATAAAATTGTTGCTATGGGCTTGGGCTGCTCATTTATAACACCCTCTCAAGAGTTATGAAGATTATGTTTTAAAACTGTCAAGGGTTATAGATAGTTTAGGTAATTAAAAATCTAAAGAAGGGTATGTGACAGAAAGAAACCCCATATTGTTAGTAGAAATGTAGAATAAGGAGAAGGTGTGGGTGTTAGAGTAGATAATTTGGATTAAATTTGACAAGCTGACTTAAATAAACCCAAACAAAAAATTAAAATTAGGCTTGGGAGTTTAAAAATTTTTCTTTATTTTGACCTTTTTCAAGTTGTTCAAATAAGTTCGAAGAAATCTAAGCAAAGCCCGAATACCCAAATTATCATTATTAATAATAAAATAAAATTAAAATTTGATAAAAATAGAAAATCTTAATTTTTTAAGATAAAAATCAATTGACTAAAAAAAGTAATATAATAAAATATATAGTAATTAGAGTATTCAGGCTAATTCAAATGAGTTCGAAATAAAAAGTTGAGATGTTAGGGATGTGTTTGATTATGTAACCTTTTTTAATATGTTTGACTATTTTTAGTTTAGCTCAAATTGAGCTCATTCCACTTAAATTTTTGGCTATAGTGACTTTGACGAATAATTGGTTGATCCAGTTGGACGTAGTAGAGATCTGGGTTTATGGTGTGTTAATGTGGTGACTCGTATGGTCTCCTCAGAAAATATTATTCATATACCAGTTTGCTCAGGCGGCACTCCTACTCCAAAAATATATCACCTTTGTTCATGCACTACCAAACGAAGGTGGGAGGATTTAGGAGATTACTTTTAATTATGTTTACAGAAAAACTAATTATTATATAAATTTTTTAATTCACAAGGTTTCAAACAAACATTTTAATATTATTTTATTTGATAAATTTTTCATAAATTGCATAAGTATCATCACTTCTAACATGATTTGAACTTGATTTTTTTATACCATTTTTATTTCGATTTTGTATTAAAAAAATGAAGGTGAGAGGTGGAAGGTTTGGGAAAGAATTGAGGAGATCTTAAGGGGCATCTAGGGGATTGACTTTCTGGGGTGACTTTAATGACTTTCTTAGTCAAAATGAGAAGTGGGGAGAAAAGCTAACACCAATGAGGCAATGAGAAAGATTCTAAACTTTCAAACGCTCATCTTAGATTACAGCTGGAGAAAACATAATTATTAGCCTTTAAAGTGTTATCGGGTTTTATTTTTAATTTTTAATATTTTTGACACGCACTGCGACACGCATGTTTTTGTACCATGGCATATTACACATTTTTTATAACATTACTGTTGCCATTTGACAGCAACACGATGAATCATATTTTTTTACATCATTTTATTTCTCTTTGTTCTTAATTTTTGACATATATTTTGAATATTTTGAGCATTAATTAAATTTATTGAACTTAATTTATAACTTTAGAAATAACTTACAAATTTTAAATTTTTTATCTTTTTTTTATTTTCATTTCTCACTTGTATCAAACATACATATAGTTTAATCTTATTTTGATTTATTAATTCTTTCCTTCATTATTTTTATTTTTTTAACATTTAAATATATTCTTATGAAAATTTTCTCATACATATATCTGTAAACACATATAAACTCACGTTATTTTAAGATATTTGCACATTAACTCATTTTTTATCACATTTTCCCCTCATCAAACAAGACTTAATAATTTTTGACTCATTGTCTCACCTCCAGCACGTCATTTTCGAAAATAACTAATTATTATATATTTTTATTTTTTTCCTCTTTTTCAGATCATCTTCTTCGGCGTTTCTTTTTAGATTTTCAGAGCATCTCTCTCCTCTCATTTTTAGCAACTTCCCTCTTTTATTTCTCAACATCTAACAATCTAAATCAAGATTCAATTTTACCATTATCTTTCCCACTCAATTTACATTAAAACCTTATCAATCTTGCTCCAATTTGCTGAATATTTTGCTATTTGAAATTTCACCTTCCAAAGTTGCCATGGAAGCATCCTTCAAGCTATTTGATAGAGTTTTGAAACTCAAATTCATACATGGCTAGACTTTTTTCTTTCCTTAAAGACATACACACCTATAAGCTCCATTTTAATTTATAAATTGGGATTGAATTTTTGAGATATTAATCTATATCTTTGAATTCATGAATGTTTACTAATGTGTGAGATTAATTTTAAATTAGTTTATTTGCCAGACAAATTTAATTGTTACACTCCTTTGTTAAAATAAATTATTACTTGCCAATTTATATAAGTGAGACATAATTATTCTTGTTATATTTGTTAGCTAGTATTCAAAATCTTAATTAAACACAGATTGTTATTATTAGGGCAAAGGTTAGGGGCTATCTAAATTAATCTATCAAGCAATTAGGTAATTTTTATAGCATTGGATTGTTAATTGTTAGTAATTGGCTACTAGTAATAATAAGTAACTTGGTGTTCGACTTAAAGAATTCTAAGTACCATTAACCCAATTAATCAAAGAGGAATTAAAATCAAAATTAATAACAAGAATTAGGTAGCTAAGTCATATAAGAGAAGTTCATATCATTGATTTTACTCATAATTTTTTTACAAACTCATTTCACTCCATTCATTCTAATTTAGTTTATTAAAATAAACAAAAGAATAAAATAAAAATAGCTTTTATTGATTTTTTTTAGATAGTTTGAACAAACCCTTATCTTGTTATTTTATTAATGCTTTTAACTATTAGAATTTTAGAATATCAATTTTGTGAGAGATTCAATCTTGGTTGATCCTAAACTACATTAGAGTCAACTTTTTTAATTTGAACCTACATGACTAAGGTTATCATAACAAGGACAAACTTTTAATGCACTCTATTTCTCCGTCCAATATCTGCTTGAGGAAATCTAAGTGTTTATAGAGAGCTTTCTTCTAGCTCTAAGAAATGGGATTGATTTTACAATCAATTTATTTCTTAGTCAAAAATTAAACACTCATTTTACAACTCACTCATTTTCACAATTTAAATACATTTTGGGTGTTCTAATTTCAGTCCAAGTACCAAAAGCCTCAAATACACCCTAAACCACGTTCAATAGACTATCACAGACCTGTACAATACATCATACCACAAATTTAATATATCAAACACTTTTTCAATGCTCAACCACTTAATCATAAAAAACAAAAGGGGGAACCTC